TGGTGGCGCTCAGTTTGCTTGAGGAGGTCAATCTTTGAGCTGTGGCAGGGAATGGATAGGAAAATTAGGTGGTAGGTCGGCTTGTAATTTAAGTTTAGGATGAAAAGTAATGCTTGGATTTGATATTGGTAGGTTCGTCTGTAGCACAGGAAACAAGGGGTGTAGACGTATATAGGGGGTGTAGAGGTATACTCCTACAGTTGGGAAAGGATGCCATTGGTTGCTGTGTTAACTGTTCATATTATTTATATCAATGTTATATGATTGTATTGATGTATTGCTGTTTTTATGGTTGGGTCATTGTCTGTGGGTATAGTTATGTTTCAGGGGTTGCTGGGTTTTTATGTCATATTAAGTGTTTGTTTGAAACTGACTTTTATTTAAGTTAATTTATCAAACCTAATTAAAGTGATAATTTTAAACCCAAAAAATTATTTGTGTCTGTGGTTTTTAAATTTCAGGTTAATATTTGCGCAAGCATTCAGTGCACACATACTTTTGTAACAGGAAAAACGTTTGCACAACAAAATATTTCTGTTCACACCCAATGAAAATTAGAGGTAACATTGAGAGCACCCATGACATTTTCGATATTTAACTGAAGATTCCATTAGTTATAGCAGGATGCAGTCAATATGATCACATAGATCAGGGGTTGGTCAACCTTTAACACTACAGATGGTGTTGACTACATCTCCCTTGATGCTTTGCCAGCATTATGGGTGTAGGAGCATTATGGGAGATGTAGTCCACTACATCTGGAGTGCCGAAGGTTGCCTACACTGAGTTTTCTATATTGAGTTGGAGCTTATTTTTTCACAAGATAAAAATAGCCTAAAAGGCAAGTCAATAACTTGTAATAGTTATGTCTGGGGTTTTATTTCACTTCCAATACAATGGGGACTATTATACTAATATAAAAACGATAAGCTAATATAAATTGAAGGTGATGCAGATTTTTTTTTTATTAATTCAAATTGCTATACATTTTAGTGTGGAAAAGTGTCAAATCGCTGTCTTCAGTCGCTACAATAGGATACTGTTATTACAAAAAAAATTATTTAAATTGAGATGCAATTACCACATTATAAATATTAATGTCTTCGTTACCTCGTGCCAATTGTTGTTTGAAGAATTGTGCATATTCCAGATACAAAGAATATTGTGCTTATAAGCTGGCTTTTCACAGCATTGTCATGTTTGACACATAATGGCTCAGCGAGTATTAATGGAACGGCGATTATACCTCCAAACGCCAAAATATAATGCTGCAAGAAAAAACCCCCAACATGTATATATTTTAAAGTGTGAATTTAACATACAATAAAATAAAAATATGGACCAAGTTATAATCTATACCAACCACTTTGTTTTACTCCTTAAAACAGTGCAGATTGAGGGTTAGCTTTTCTTTGTAAATCAACCCATAGGGGGCAATATTAAAGGGACCCTCCAAGGACCATAATCACTACAGCACATTCTAAGGGTTTAATGCGAGAAACATCCTGGCATCGGAACAAAACCATTAAATTCACTTCTTACCTGGGGTCCACTGAGTGGACCACCTCTCCAGTGAACTGTGTATTATGGGGTAATTGGGGTTCTAAAGACATCATAATAAACCACAAGACCAAAGTCTAAGTGGTTTAAGAATATAACAATTAGTGTAAGTGTTGGTGCATGGTTATTGATAGTGTTATCTAGTGTTACTGTGGGATAGAAGCTGAAGTAAAATGATGGCAGCTGCAGCATATTGCATTTACCATTCGATAGAATAACTCCCTCTAATCTGCTTGCCTGGTGAGATCAGGAGTTTAGGTGTCCCAGCACTGCGCAGTGACTATTTTGGATATTGTCTTAAAGGCATAGCGCATATTTTATATTATTATTTTTACTGCACAGTGACTGTCAAACCATGCTTTAGGAGGAATAATGCATGGATGACATCTACATAATAAATAATGAAATAATACTGTATTGTTGTATGTTGTTTGTGTGGTAGGTTGTGCTTGTATGTGTCACATGCCAACCGTGGGTACTTTTTGGCAATGACTTTGCAGGGGAAATGCTATTCGGACCTCTGTGCTAACTTTTTTGTTATTGCTTGCTTCCTGCTCTCTTTTAATTTTATCTTATAAATCTCAAATATTTGCAATTAATAGTGATTATTTTTGGCTTTAATCTAGTACTTCATATGATTTTTAGCTATGTTTGTACAGCTGTGTTTTTTTTTTTTGTTAAATATAGGATAGATGCATAGTTTGCTTTGTGTACCCTTATCAATACTGATCAGCCACAACATGACAATGGTGTTCCCTGATGGCAGTGGCCTCTTTCAGTAGTAAAATGCAACATGCCACACTGCACAAACTGTTCATAAATGGTTTGAGCAACATGACAAAGAATCAGGATGTTGCCTTTGCCTCCAAATTCCCCAAATCTCAAGCCAATTTAGCATCTGTGGGATGTGCTGGAACAACATATCCATGGAGGCCCCACCTCACAACTTGCATGACTTAAAGGATCTACTGCTAATGTCTTGGTGCCAGATACCACAGGACATGTTCAGAGGTCTTGTGGAGTCCATGCCTCAAAGCATCAGAGCTGTTTTGGCAGCATGCAGGGGCCTACAAGATATTAGGCAGGTGGTTTTGATGTTGTGGTTGATCAGTGTATTTACTATTTCTATGAACATTATTACTGCTGTGTAAAGAATGTATAACTGGCAGTGCAGCATAGGAAATATATCACTTAGAAATACCAATGCTAGTAAACGTTATTATAGTTTGGATAAGTGTAACATTTATGGTTTTAGGTGTACACTAGCATGCTATTTAAATGACAAAGGTTATACCCATTTACCATTCTATTTTGGGATGATTTGTAAAAAACTTAGTTATGCCAACTACTCAATAAATGGTTGGATATGACAATGTACTTTGCAAGGTTGCATTTAAAGGACCACTATAGTGCCCTGATAGTGCCCCCACCCTCAGGGTCCCCCTCCCGCCCGGCTCTAGGGGGTGGAAGGGGTTAAACGTACTTCTTTCTCCAGCGCCAGGCGGGGGACTCTCCTCCTCCTCTCCGCCTCCTCCTCGGCTGAATGCGCATGTGCTGCAAGAGCTGAGCGCGCCTTCAGCCAGTCTCATAGGAAAGCATTCACAATGCTTTCCTATGGACGCTGGCGTCTTCTCACTGTGATTTTCACAGTGGGAAGCGCCTCTAGCGGCTGTCAACGAGACAGCCACTAGAGGCTGGATTAACCCTAATATAAACATAGCAGTTTCACTGAAACTGCTATGTTTATAGAAAAAAGGGTCAAACCTAGCTGGACCTGGCACCCAGACCACTTCATTAAGCTGCATTGGTCTGGGTGCCTATAGTAGTCCTTTAACTTTAACACTTTAACAGTGCTCTCACTACTGCAAATTGTGTTTCAAAGCCGTTGTATGCAGCAGACACATACTCTAAGGAATCCATGTATAAAGTGGAATTATGAGGTAAACAAATGTGGTTCTTTGTTGAGCTCCCCAGAATCCCCTGCAGTAGTGAGATCACTGTTAATGTGAAATTTCTGTGGGAAAAGCTAGTATTCTGGCTTGACTGGTGTGTGTATTTGTGTTTAGCAATGTATTAACTATCCACTTACTTCAGGTGGAAGGGGTTTTCATCCACACTTTTCCCCCCACCACAAATCTGTTGGTATGTACTTTACAAGTAACACCAAGCCTCTATAGCAAGTCAGTAACCAGCCTCATGCTGATGAGTAGCATTAACAACGAAACAGCTGTCCATGAGTGGTTCAAAGCTGTTGTATACAGTAGACACATACTCCAAGGAATCCATGTATAAAGTGGAAATATGAGGCAAAAATACGCCTACCCAGAATCCCTTGCAGTAGTTGGAGCACTGTAAAAGTGAGATTTCTGTTGGAAAAGCTAGTATTCTGGCTTGACTGGTGTGTGTATTTGTGTTTAGTAATGTATTATATATAGACCTTAATATACTAATTGGTTGTTTCAATGTAGCAATTTCACAGGCTCACCATTACCAATTATAACTGTGCTTTTTACGCTACCGTGTATCATACTTACCACAATTCGATTTGTATCTCTACCTATCCCTCTCTCCCCTACTAGTTATTTAGTTAATAGACCACTTATTTTGCAAGCCCTAACTCAGGGGTTCTCAACCCAGTCCTCGGGACCCCCTACCAGTCCAGGATTTGGGGATCAGGGCTGCCATCAGAAATTTTGGGGCCCCTGACACAGCTCAAGGTCTGGGCCCCCCGGTGCCCACACCCGAGTCCGCCCAAAGTGCTTCCTTCTCCCCCCTCCAATTTCCTTCTTCTCCCCCTCCCTCCAATTTCCTTATTCTCCCCCTTTCTCCAATTTCCTTCTTCTCCCCCCTCTCCTTCTTCTCCCCCCTCTCCAATTTCCTTCTTCTCCC